TGATTCTCTTAGAGCATTCAGCTCACTTGACTTGAGCACTTACTCTGGTATGCTGGAATTCCTTTTTGGTTCTGCCAACACCCTACATCCACTCCACCAGTCCAGGAGCTCCCATGAACAAAAACTATATGCCTACTCCAGATTATCCCACAGAAATCATACATTTATTTTTAAGCCCTAAATAACTTACTGCTTCTGTGCAGTCTACTAAATAAGGTGCAAACCTGTTCAGCAGGCAGGTTGGGTTCTCTGTGGGTTATCCCAATTCTACTTTCCATGGTTGGAGAACCCATGGTTGAAGAATTTTAGATCTTATATAAAATTTAGAATGGTAGGAAGGGGGATATGAAGTCATCAATAAATATCTGAAAGATTATTCCAAAGAGGCTTTTAGCAAAATCATAACAATTAAGGCATAAAACAAAATAAATAGAATATCAATGACATACTATACAACCTAAATTAGTAATAATGTGACTCATCTTCTACCATTCTGTGCTTGCTAGTGACTCTTTGAATCTCCCAACTTTGAGTTGTGAATCTCTTCGACTTTGTTGCAGGTTATGTGCCTTCTTACAGATCAGTTTTTTCTTACCTTCTGACCTCCCAGCCTGCTCAGTGACTTCCTGGTAGGATTCGTCAATGGAAAGCCCTCTTGGTCTAATGAGATTTTCTCATTACCTATCCTTATCTGACTGCTAAAAATCCCACCAGAAGTGGAGAGACATTCTCTGACCCTATCCTCGTGCCACCAATGTCCACACCCTATAGGATGCTGTCCTTTCTAAATCCTGGGTATATTTGCAATACTGTGAGTTCCTGGAGAAAACTTTCCATTTAATCAAACAACACATAATGTTAATGGATTTTTTTTAAATACATCTCTTCATACTTTTTCTGCTTTAGCAAGGCTCATTTTGGAGGTAAAGTCATCAGGTGTCCAGCTTTGAGCTAGTTTGTTTCATATTGAAGCATTCTGGGTGGGTGATAATTTATTAGTATCACATTATGATGGCGTGGCACAATAATTCTCATTTACTCTACAGGCCTGCCTAATGCACAGTTAAACGTACTTACCTTCTACATGCAAAGCACATTGATGCTTACTGGCAAATCAGTGTATACTGGATCATAGTTATGAATTTGTATTAGCATATGCTAACAGCCACATGGCATATGATGACCCTGTGTGGCTGGTTATTTTCATTTAATAAACATAGAGATCTACAAATTGTAGCTACTACTTTGGTCCTTGCCTTCTTTTTCTTATGTGCTCTTTTTCTGGTTAAAAATAGTTGCTACCTTAAATCAAGATTTTAAAATAAAAAAAAAAAAAAAAGTTATTCTTTTGTTCATTTTTTAGTATGTAAGATTTAGAAACATTGTAGAAGGTTTATTTTCTAGTTTACAGATTCAATATATTTACTTTACTGACAACATAAAAAAGAAGATTCTTTCAATATCTGGATAAGTGATTTCCTTTTAAAATATTCCATATATGCTCTGGTGCTTGGCATTTGGCTAACCATACTGAGTCAGTAAAAAGTATTAGTGTATTTGTATGTTGTGCATTCTAATATACCTTCTACTTGTTTGAAAGCCAAAGTTTAAAATATATATATGGATGAAATTCAATGTAAAAAATAAGACATTATGTAGATTGTCATAACCAAATTTCTATACAATTTATTGTTTCAGTACATGCATTTTTATGGGTCTGGAAATTTTCTTGAAATAGACAATTACTTCTTTATGTAAGATAGATCTGAATAGTCTCAGTGAATAATTTGGAAGAATGATCAGTATGATAATTTTAACTTTTCCATGGATGAAAATTGCTAAAATGTCCAAAGGACCCTAAAGACCTGGCTTTGAAATGCTACTTGTGTTGACAATAAAATTTCCCCAGTTTATGCATGGATGCTGTTGAACTTGGGATGGGGGTGGAAAACAGGTAACCATATGTCCTGTATCTCACTATTAATTCACACAACGGACATTTACCAAGTGTCTATTTTATGCTATAGTAGTTCAGGGGGATATCCAGATGAATAAGATCAAATCCTTGTCTTTATTTGACTTATAGGCCATTTTTATGTAACATATATTCTTAGTGGTTTGGCAGTTATGTAGTGATGTAGTCACCCTCCATTTTGTGATCTGATGTGGTCATTCTCCATTTTCGCATAACGCCAACTTTGCATAACAATCTGGTCTTTGGAACCTAACCATGTCGATAACTGAGGAGAAGATGTACATATTCTTCTTCTTTTTTTTCCCCCCAGAATGAAGAGATTAGGACCATATTCTGGGCTAAAGGGCATTCAGAGTATCTCTCTGTAATGTAGAATATCTGGCCACTATTCTCCTGAGCTGGCTGGTAACAAAAGTCCAGGAAAAACATGACAGAAGATTTAAAATGTTTTTACAGGAGTAAATGCATATTTTTCTAAGTACAAAAAAACCCCACAGCAAATCTATATTCAACAACTTCATTAATGATCTAGAGAAAGACAGCAAACAGCCCATTAATTAATTCACTAGTGAATCTACATTGAGAGGTATAAACACCAGCAAAGACAGAAATTATGCCACAAAGAGTAGAACAGAAAAAGTGAAATAAAGGCTGAAATGAAGCAGCAAACAGCCATCAAGTTAGCTCAAATTTATCAAATGCATTTGATTAGTCTTAACAATATCTGCATGGCAGAAAATCACGTACTGGGAAATAGAGATACTAAATGATGGCTTAATCTAGTGATATTTATGAAAACAAGTAGATAGAGAAGAAAATGAGACCTTAGTATCCTGGCGCCCAATTCAGTAAATGAAATTCTCACTCTAAATAAACTGTAAATTTCATCTAAAAATTGTACTATAGGGGGAACTTTTGTGCCATGGGTGAGGTATTTTTAAAAGATTCATCTTTTCTCCTTATGAGAGATACAAGTTGGCTTCTATGTCTCTGTGGTGGACAGCATGTGGTTTATGCATCCATTTCCTGACTATACATGGGTGTGAGATTTGTATGCCTGGCTGTTTTGACCTGAGTGAAAACCTAGATATGACTTGGTTAGGAAATAACAGGGCACATGCTTTTTTAATTGTTCTGCTGTGGTTCTCCTGGCTCCTTCCGTCCATCCCCTCACATCCCAGAGTGCTAAGCAGCTGAGTGTACAGCTGTGAACAGAGACTGAGGCAATTTCCCTTTAGGCTAGGCATATATCTTGCCAAAAGGATAGAGAAGTTTTGTTTGCTTGTTTATGTGTTTCTATTGCCAGACTCCTCCTGGAGTTGAAGGAGAAAGCTAAACCATCCCAAGGATTCTGTCCCTTCTCCACTAACCCAGATTTTTTCCCACTGTCTTTTGAGAGAAAAAGACCCCGTTATATTTCTAAAATAAGTAGTAATTAAAAAAAAAAAAAAAAAACAATTTCTACTTCACCTTCCTTGAAGTATTAACTATAATATTCGTTTCTTCATGCCCCATAAAATGTGGAACTCATTCTAATGTGGACAGAAATTCTGGTAGCAACCTGTATCGCCAGGAGACAACCAACCTGCTGTCTCCTGCAGCTGGAACTAGAGTTATGCCAGATGATACTTGCTTCGACCCCTTGACACACAGCTATCCACCTACCACTGGACCTGCCTTGGTGCTCACATACTTCTTCTCCCTCCTGGAGTGGACATTCCAAACTTGTAAGGATCAGAGGCAAACTCTAAAATCTAGTCTAATTACTACAGAGGTAGTGGACCGTAACTCATACCTCCACCACAAAAGACAATCAGAACGTACCTTTGAAAGAAAAGTGCAGTTCAAGACTGAGTAAAAGCGCCACAATATCAGCAGGCTAAATCTCAGAGTTAAAACCTAGGTAGACAGAATTCTATGTGAATGATCTTTTTCCTAGACAAGGAGATAATACAGTGGAAAGTCAATTCTCAGTTAAATGTATTTGCCTGCATTACATGTACTCAGATTGTTTATAGCTGAATTGAGTCTGATAGAGTGACATTCATCCATTGGATGGTAATTGGTTCTTTATTTTTTTAAATATTTTATTGAGTTTTTGTTTCTGGTGAAAATTTACACGGCAAGTTATGTTTCCATTTGACAATTTTCACAGATTTTTCAGCAACGTTAGTTACATTTATCACAATGTGTCAACATTCTCTTTGTGTTCTGTTTGTTCCATTTCTAGTACTCTAGTTTCCCTGCTCCCTTATCTTCTCATTTTTGTTTTTGAGTAATTATTGATCTTTTGTTCTCATACTGATGATTTTTAAGTGGACCCCCAATCTTATGTGTAATATCTTTTATTTTGTGTGCTATTTAGTTATTTAACTAAAAGTTGATCTCAGGGGATAGGCTCAGTTCTAGGTTTAAAAAGTATCTCAGGGCTATAGTCTTAGGGAGTCCTCTGTTCTCTACTGTTTCAGTTTTTCTGGATTTTTTTTTCAATTTTAATTTTTTAAATAAGAATTTGAGCTCTGCTCCACATCTTTCTCCCATTTATCCAGGACCATCTATTGTGACCCCAGTCAGAACGGTCAATGTTGTTAGCCAGGCAGGCACCATCTAGTTCTTCTCGTCTCAGGGTAGATGAAGGTGTGGCTTGTGTAGGCTTACTTCTTCTCTCAGCTTTTCATTACCTTCTTACTTTGCTCCTGGTGAGAAGAGACCCATATTTGTGCCTCAGATGGTCGCTTGCAAGCTTTTAAGACCCCAGACACTACTCACTTCACTAGGATGCAAATCATGATTTTTATAAACTATGTTATGCCAATTGACTGCGTTGTCCCATGAGACTATAATTGTAATTAGATCTTAAAGGAAAAATTGTGAAGACACTTAGGACTAAAAAAAAAAGACATGGCAATGATTCATCTTGCATATAATTATTATTTTTATTGGTCTTGTTGAGTCTGATTGTGTGGAGAATGAAAACAGATTCAGTTATGGTTAAGGCTCTAACATTGTTATTCTGCTTTGCCAGGTGCGTTGTAGATGATAAGAACTCAAAGGTGGCTTGGTTGAACCGTTCTGGCATCATTTTCGCTGGACATGACAAGTGGTCTCTGGATCCCCGGGTTGAGCTGGAGAAGCGCCATTCTCTGGAATACAGCCTCCGAATCCAGAAGGTGGATGTCTATGATGAGGGTTCCTACACTTGCTCAGTTCAGACACAGCATGAGCCCAAGACCTCCCAAGTTTACTTGATCGTGCAAGGTAAGAAAAATGGGATAGATGGTAATAAGGGAGAGATAGAGTCATCATAATACACAAAGTATTTGCAAAACCTTTCCTGGCTGGTGGGGAGGGGATGCAGAACACTTCCGAATACATTATTGCACTTAAGGATCTGTTTGCTTTCTAGCAGGATAGTCTCAAAATGAGAGGACTAAGCAGAATATATAGTGAGGACACTTGCCACTGTGAGCCAGTACCCTTGGTGAGAATGCTTTCTCCTAGCCCTGAGTGTGAAAACACACAGCAAGCACCACAGGTCTTAGAAAGAGTTAAAACAGGGAAACCAGAGCACAGAGAATGCTTCTAACCAGGTGAAGTTCAGTTTATCACCCTGTTAGGTGCTGGATGCTTCGCTGAATTTAAGAAGATTTGGTTTTATCTATCCTCGGCCTGAAGACTATCACTAATTTTCTGTTTTTAGAGTAGTAAATTTTTTTTTTTTTAATAACAATTCCCAGAGGCTTTGACATTGTCTCAGCTGGCCAGCTTTCTAGGTAGTTTGTATATTCATTTAGTGGCAAGTTATTTGTGAACAAATCCAGTGATAAGAATTCTCAAAGTCATCGGGAACAATCTCCTTCTAGATTGGGGTTTCCAAAGGCACATCTGAGTTACTGTTCTACAGGATGAAAACCCTAGATGGTATACACATGCCCCCAAACTATAGCTCTCCTGGGTCCCTTTCCCAGAATGAGAACAAAGCTGATCAGCTGCACAATTTTATTGCAAGTGAAGTCAAACAACCATCAGTTTCAATCCATCTATCAGGAAAGACCTAAGCACTAACAAATATTAGAGCTGTGTTCATGTAGTCTTGATTTACAATTTTATGTAAATTTAATGCAAATTAGGCATGGCCCTAGGGCTTCTGTCAAGATTCCAATGCAGTCAGTGGTGTGGCAAAGTTTGACTGTAGCTTCTATTAATGTGTTATGGAATTGATTATTGCAGCGTTTAGATTATTGCTCTCCCAACTCTTCTGATTAATAAATTGAAACTGGAATAAAATACATCAGAGACTGTCTGGTGCAGGGTGGTTTAATCATGTGACCTCTATTTTGGTCCATTTGCAATGGCTGACAGCTTCATTTTATTGCTTGTAAAGGCATGTCTACTGGCTTATAAAGTCCCCATCACAGTCAAAGCATAGTACACTTTCCTGGCAGTTTAGTACTTGAGACATCAGGATTTGGAACTCAAGCAATCCATTTAAATACATAAGCGTAACTAGAGGTATGTAAACATGTAAATGGGTTCATTTACCAGCTCCTTCAAAACACGTACAAGCACGCACCAACACACACACACACACACACACACACACACACACACACAAGGACAGACCACTCAAAACAAAAGGAGAATTTCTACCTGATTCAATGATAGGGGAAGGGGCAATGACTAGTTGACTTAAGGCCCCTTAGAACAGATTTTATTCAGTGACCAGCTCCAGATTATATTGAGATTCCTTCACAATTTTAGTATCTTTACTCCCTTTAATGTCTTTAGAGAGCTCTTAGAAACCACAGCTAGGAATTGTGCACTGTTTTATACTAAGCATTATATTCCCTGGCTTCCAGATGAGTCAACAGAGGTTCATTAAATTTAGGTTACTTACTCAAGATCACAGGAAGTGATACGTGGACTCAAATCCAAAGCATTTTCCGCTGGAATGGAAAATTTTTGCTGTGACTTTAAAGACTACTAAATGTGTAAGTCTGAGTTCTTCCCACCAGATTCCCAAAGCTCCTCCCCCTTTTTTTTCTTATTGATCTGTATACTTTTTAGCTACAAATATGACCTTCCCAAGAGGGAGAGAGCTAGAATGAAGTTAGATCATCCTGCATGCACCTCCTTGCCATGTCAGTGCAACTGAAATTAAATTTAACTTTAAAGAATGGATTAGAACCTACTAAATGCCAGATACTGATCATTCATTGTCTCACTTAATTCTCATTTATCAGTATGAAGTACATCTTAATAATTTTATTATAAATATGCAAAAAATAAAGGTAGTTTGGAGAGGATAAGGAACCTGCCCAAGGCTCCCTGTTGACTTAGGATAGAGTTCTAACCCATCTCTGTCTCATTCAAAATATTATTGTTATTTCTTATTCAGCACACCTCTTGGAAATTTTAAAAAATGAGTATCGAAGCATGTACTTATAATAGATGAAGAAAAAATTGTCTCTTCCTGTGGCTGAGTTGGGGTGGGGTGTTTTTTGACAATGTATGGATGTGGGCATTTGGTCTCTAGTACCAGATGGCTGAACCACTTCTCCTTGGGACATTCAGCTTTGTGGTTGTGTCAGGAGTTCCTTTCCTGTTGTCCCTTCACACTGTGTCTTCACACGGCTTCCTACTCAGGGCCTCAGCTCTAACCCAGGCAAAAGGTACACACGATGATCACTCTTGGCTGTAATCTGTAGTGAACAATTTCACATGTTTTTCACCACATGAAAGATTCTGCTTCTATGTATGGCTGGCATCTATCTCTCTCCAAACCCTTCAGCACTTTCCTACAGAATCAAATTGTCTTTTCAAATTTACAATCCCCATGTTGGTCCCTTGGATAGTTTCTGAAAATCCGACCTGACTAATCAGTAAGTAAATGCTGTTCTTTCTGCTTACCCAATTGTGAGGCCGCCCTTAGTTCCAAGGTGCTATGCAGTATCACTAAAGAACAGTGGTTAAGAAGGTGCCTGATTCACATCTCAACTTCCCTTTTTGCTACCTAAATAAAATAGTGGATAGACTGCTTAACCTTCAAGCCTCAGTTTTGTCACCTGTAAAGTAGAGATAATATGAACATTTTAAATTCTCCTAAATGTAAGGATTAAATTAGATGATCTGTGTAAGCCCCTAGCATGGTGCCTAGAGCATCATTCTCTGTCACTAGGTGATGATGATGATGATGATGATGATGATGATGATGATGATGATGATGATGATAAAACACCATTAATTACCATGAGACTCACACCTGCCCCGGTTGGTGGGCAGTTTCAGCATCAGCGCCCACTGCCTGCTGCCCAGGGTCTCTCCTTGCCTGTTGCCCTCGCAGCTGACTGCTCTTTCCCTTAACATCTAGTCTACAGCTTTTCTTCTTTAGAATTCTGGGTGGCTTCTTAGAACAGCATCACTTCTGAATCATCACCTGGCAATTATGAAGGATACTTGAGGAAAAAATGCAGTATGCATCAGTATCACGTAGAGGGTTTGTTAAAATTTAAGTCAGTGGGACCTACCCTAGAATTTCGGTTTCACTAGTTCTGGGGTGGAGCTTGAGCATGTGAGTGTCTAACAAGTTCCCAGGCAACGCTGATGCTGCTGGTCCAGGGGCCACTCTTTGAGAACTACTGCTCTAAAAGAACTGTGTATTTTAAAATCCTATGGTGAAGTAAACCTGTACCATTTCATTTAATTTTAGACAGTGTCTCACCCTCAAATACTCCTAGAACTCATCTTCCTTGGCATGAGACAGAGAACCAGTAGACTGACATATACTGTGACTTTCATGGTAACATCTCAGACTTTCCAAGGCTGCTTACCTAGCTTACTTCTGTGCAAAGACAACTCCTTCTCTCTCCCCAAACTGTCCATTTTCAGCTTTCAAAGCTTTAAAAATATGGTTGAATATTGTTGCTCTTGTGTTCAAAATTATCCTACTTCATAAATCCGCAAGTGTTTGCATCAGCTCTCGTTTCTCTTGCATCCCATTTCTCCTGGAAGCCTCTTTTCCCTTTATATATATATTCCCATCACATGATAGTTACTTTTCAACATCTGAAATATTTTCTGGTGGTACTTTTTCACAAAGAAAGTAAGATTATATAGGTTCATGAGAGTCATTACATCTAAAACACTCTGTTAAAGTAAAAATGCTGCACGCTTCACTAAACTTAATCCTTTAGCTAAATGACATCTCCACACATCTGCCTCATGAGGTACACAAGTCAAATTTTTGCATCAGCAAATGTACAAATCAATATAGTGACCTTTGGAGAATTTATGATTAGTTGTTATTAAATGTTGCATCTGTGGAAGTCAAGGCTACACTATATATAAACATTAATTTGTGATAGTTAATAAGTGGTGAGACCCACATCTAAAGTGAGATTTTTTGGTTTGCATGCCACCACTTCTACAGATTTTAAGATCAAAAATTAAGAAAATATCACCCTAAACTCCAATAAAATAAACAGGATACTCTAGCATCCTTTCCATTAATAATGCTCATGTATTCTCCAAAGGTCCTTCTCCTATGATTTCCTGGTCCTTCTGATCTTACTGCGGATAGAGACACGTGTTACGGCAATGTTTCTCTAATCGTGGTACTTACTTACCTTGCAACAAAGTCAACATTTTGTTGTATTACACTTGTCAAAATGCATATTCCTGAGAACAACTCTCAGAAAAGCTGAATCCTACTCTCTGGGGATGGGGTCAAAATTTGCAAATATGGCATGTTCTCCAGGTTTTCAGATGAATACTAAAAATCAAGAACTACTATTTTAGGGATCTAAGCAATCAATGAGAGACATTTACTGTTGCCTGCCTCATCATTCTCCTATATGACACTGCATCAAATTACATCTAAGACCTCTGCAGACCAAAAACTACAGCTTTGTATCAGTAAAAATTAAAAATAAAATGAAATAAACCTGTATGCTCATCACAAAAAAGATTAATCTCATGTTCTTGAGGCCAGAGAATAGTGGCTCCAAAAACTAGGTTTTTTTTTTTTTAAACTGTAACTTTAAGTATGTCCATGGATATGTGACAAAAAAGGAAATCCTGAAAGATACTATTTTTTAGATGTGATTCTTTTAAAAAAAATCATTCACCACATTTTACACCATTTTTCATATTTTTAATGTGTTTATTGTATCATTTTTACATGGGTTCTCTCTTAGTTATCTAGTGCTGTCACAATAGAATTACCAAAAGTGAGTAGCTTTAAAGAATAGAGATTTATT